AATAATGAATACTTTTTTAAAAAATGTAGAGTGATGTCCCAAATACGGCATGTTCTAGGTACGATTAAATTTTAGCTGTCACTGATTTGAAATAAATATTGACTGCTCTCTTGTGTTTGTGTTTGTGTTACTGCTGAAATCTTTCCTCTTCTCTTTCTCCTCTTCCTCCTCCTTCTTTCTCTCTTTTTTCCCCACCCCTGGAGAAGGAGTTCAGAGCCTCAGGATGCTAGGCAAGCACCTCACACTGAGCCTCTCTGGTGAGCTTTTCAGGGGAGCAGCCTTCTTCCACTGCACATCTACTTATTGAAAGACAAGCTTCTCATCAGTGAAAAGATGAAGCTGTCAGTAGTTTTGCGGAGCTTGTGTGTGTGTGTGTTGAGACTGAAGAGAGAAGTGAATATATATGTATGTATGTGTGTGTATATATATACATTCCTTGTGGTTTCAGAGAGCAATCTGAGGGAAAATTCCAACAGACTTGCAACCAAGTAATCCAGGGTGGCAATGAGTTAGGAACCATGTGGAGTGGCCAGGGACATCTCATTGGAGCGAAGTTCATGAAGGACTAGGACCAGAGTTTTAGACAGCTGGAACTAGCTGGGACGGGGAAGTCGACGGAGGACTACAAGAAAGGCTGTAACAGCTGAGGGAGACCGAGAAAGCAAGGAATACATATGAGCACGGCTGGAAAAGAGGCAAGGGCCAGAGCTTTGTAGGAGCTCAGAGACACAGGCAAAGAGGAGCAGTTAGCATTCTAAAGACCTGGAAAATGGATGGCTCAGGACAAGAGCAGAAGCAATGGGACCAGTTAGGACTTTTTGCAGTAGTCCTTGTAAGAGATCATGTTTGCATGAAGGGGCAGAGGGGAGAGGGGGAAAGATTCCAAGTGCTAACAGGTCTTGCTGATGAAGCAGATGTTTAAAAAAAAGGGAGGGAAGGGCCTTTACAGACCCTCATGGGGTTGAGGAGCTAATTATTGTTTCTGATTCCAGAGCAATGCTTCCTAAATACTATGTCATGGCTTACATGGAAAGCTGTATTGTTGGGGTACAAGAGTGGGAGGGGATGGCACAGGGTTTCCAGACACGGCAGGTTCAGAACAGTACCTTAGTAACCTTCATTGCATTTTATCTGCCAGGAAGCTCTCTCTGGGGCAGTAATTTTACTGCTGTAGCCAAGTGTAGGCTGTGGACAGTGCCAAGAGACAGGAAGATACATAGCTCAATGCAGTAACCACTGTCAGGATCAGCAAGCACCCCTCAGACCAGAAACCAAAGACTTGTAGGGTCCAAGACTGGAAAGGTGTTAGAAATAATCTTGTTTGCCCATTTTCCACCTTTATACAGAGGGGTGACAGGCTTACGCGTTGATTTTACACATTGCGTACTACACAGGAACGTATCCATTTGTTCGTTTATTGAGCTCTACAAGGTGAATGCACAGAGGTCAGGTGCCCTGAGACAGGGCTACTTGGAGTGTGAGTCATGGACTGGTGCCAGCCATCATCAGAGACCCTCGGAATGGAGAGCGAATTATGAATTATGAATTGAGTATGCCAAAGCATGCCATCGCGGGGATGGCAGTTTCCTTCCCTTTATCCCACTTTCTCAACCTCCCTCTGTCCTTCCCCCCACCCCTCCTCACATTTAGTTTTTATAGCGATTCATTTTCACTGTCAGAAGTCTCAGTCCTAGATGGTTGGAGACCAACATTTCTGTAAACTGCAGCAGTCCCTCATGGAGGCGCTTACCTCACAGTTTCAGCTGACCCAGTCACATGACGGTCACGTGAGCAGCTGCCTGCCTCCCCTCATTTCTGGTCTATCTCCGGCCTGTCCAGAGCCCTGGGAAGATTAAAGAGCTCCCGCCGGCCTGCTCCATGGGCTGCCTCCTGCGCTGACCTAAAGGATGATTCTCGGCTTGACTCTCAGCCTTTTGTTCACCTGTAAGGGGCGCATTTCTTTTGCTCTGTACCCCTCTCCCTTTCTCTGACCTTTGGAGGCTCGGTCCCTTGTTCCTGCATGCTTAGCTTCTGTCTAGTCATTCTCTGCCTGTGACATTCATTTCTGTTCTCTACTGAGTTCCTCTGAGCTGGTCAGTGTCTGGGAACTCAGAAGCTACTATTGTCTCATTTCCTCTTCACAGACAAGGATGCGCTATGTATCACGCTGACCCAGAGCTCACCCGACAAGACAGTCGCAAGTGGCAGTGAAGTAACATTGCTTTGCACTTATGATGGAACTCTTCGAAATCCAGATTTATTTTGGTATCGCAGAAGGCAAGATCTGTCCTTTCAGTTCATCCTTTATAGGGATGATACAAGATCCCGTGATGCAGACTTTGTTCAAGGTCGATTTTCTGTAAGACACAGCCGTGTCTACAGAACCTTCCACCTGGTGATCTCTCTAGTGAGGCCTGAGGACAGTGGCGCTTATTATTGTACTTCAGACACCACGGTGATGCAGGTGCCCAGGAAGCCTGTACCTAAACCCCTGGAGCACAGTTGAGGAGTGGCCCACTTCCGCAGGAAGTCACATCTTAGATTGTCAGGCATCCCTCTCAGTCGCCTGTAGCCCAGCCTAGCCTTTAGTGGTGCCCCAAGTGATTGCTAATAAAAGGCCTGAGCACAGTTGGGGAAGACTCTGGCTTCCAAGGAGCAGAACATCTCCCTTCTGGCTCACTGGGCCTTTGTCACCTACGTCTCCTGTGATTGACTTTGGAGAACTACAACTTGAGGAAATACCTTTTCTGTGTCCTTGAGCCTGTGCTGTTTGCTGTGAGGGTATCAGGGTGGTGCAGGTGTCAGGCCAGGGACATCACCATCACTGTATCTCCACCATCGCTTACTCGTTGCCGTGAATTAATTAGTAAGCTTTTATCTGAGACTCCGAGTGGATTATTAAATCCACTCCTATCTTACCTTTGTTCTGTATCTTGCTATGGTTAATCATGTTACTCTTCCTGAGTGTGCTCTGAAGCCTCCACTTTACTTATTTTGTTTGGACGACGTTTCTCTCTCTTCATTGATGATGCCTGGCTAGTTGTCTAAGAACTGAACACATTTTCTAAGGTGCTGAGTGTGGAGCTCAATGGTGTCCTGAGACAAGGCCATTTCCTCTAGGAATAACTGGTGTGTGATGTTGAAACAGACGCCCCTTCAGTTTCTGAGACACCCTCTCACCTTTCTCTATTAACGTCTGCATCTTAAATATACCAGCAGTTATTAGAGACAGCCCTAGGGAGGGAAGAGCCCAGAAGTAAGAAATAGTCTCCCGGTCTCCCAGCTGACTCCTGACAGCCAGGGATGCCATGCTGTACTTCTAGAACTCTGTTGCAGCCAGACCCAGGAGGCTTTATCAAAATGAATCTGGGCAGGAGTTTGCACGCACTTTAGATACAGTAAGTGAAACATAGCCAGTATGTGGAGCAACCGAGAGGATGCGGTGAGAAAGCCACAGGTCACGGTCCATCCCAAGGCAGCGTCTTTCCTGGATCCTGCCTTCAGTCGTCACACACTCTCTCACACACACACACACACACACACACACACACACACACACACACACGCGCGCGCGCGTTTGAGAGCAGAGAGAGAATGATTTCTGGGAGGGAGAGGGCCAGTGGGAGGGGTTAGGAACGTGAGAGAGTAATGCGGGTGGTGGTGGATCTGAACAAGAAGATAATGACATCCCTGTAGGAAAATCTTATAATCAAACTTTTTATTTGTTTGCTAACTAAAATATCGATTTAAAACTTTTGGAGGTTCATTTTGGTGGAAGAAATTTATAATCCCGTGATGAGCTAGGATTTTTTTTTTTCTGGCTGCTGGGTCAGAGTCATCTCATTTGTTGCTGACAAGAGGCGGTCCTTGACACATCGTCCTCATTTTGGTGATGCAGTGAGCTCAGGGGACAGTAACTTTGGGCTGACAGTCTTGAGACCTTGGTTCCGTTCCTAGCAGTATATCTGCCTCACTGAATGACTTTTGACAAAGTGCAAACCCTTTTCTCCTGGGGGTGGGGTGGGCAGGGCAAATGTTTTGTTCCATTTGAAAAATGAGGATGCGCTCTTTTCAACAACTTCAGAATAGCATTCTGATGTCACAGCCAGGAGCAGAAGCGAGTGTTCTGGGACTAGGTGGTCTTTATACGTACCAGGTGACGTGTGGAATGCTGTCATTGCTGTTCCCTGGGTAGATCTGACTTATCCTTCTAGATATTCCTGAACCCAGGGCCTCCCAGCATCGTTACCGCCTTTGGTTTGGAGTCTGTGGCTGATGGCGGCAGGGGAATTTCCAGGGGTAATGGCTCATGTCACACCACGGTCCCTGCTTTATACTTCTTGTAGTAGCTGAGGAAACCACAGCGCTCCTACCTTAGTGCTACCAATAAAGCTGCGGCCTTGCCGGGCTGGGCTGAACAGAGCTGCATGCCACACTGAAGGTGCTGCTGCGCTAACAGAGCAGGAAACCAGGGCCTAGTCCCCCAGACAGGCCCCTCAGGCCTGGGGTCAGGAAGCTGTGGTGTGACTGACATGCCCACTCTGGCTTCCAGCAGTCTAATAGCTCAACAGAGCTGAGTGCCTTCTTCCCAGGCAGTCCACAGTGAGTGACTGCAGAGGTTGCAGCTTAACAAATGCAGCAGAGGCAGGCCCGAGAAGAAAGGCAGGAAAGCACCAACATCAAAGACCAAGGTGAAAGGATCTGTGCCCAGTGATGTCAAAGCCCAGGGCCAGACTGGCCAGAAAAAGACAATAAAGGTGCGGACTTCACAGGGAAAAGGAAAGAGGTCACATTCTTGTCCCTGCTTCCAAAACTGCTGCCCAGTGAGTGGTTGGCAGGCCGGGCACAGGTCGCAATTCCGTACCCTCAGTATGGTGCCTGGGACTCAGCCAGTTTGTGCACGTGAAGTCAGTTCACAGAAAGAGGTATCCTTCCTCTCTGTATTTTACTTTCATCTTTGGTAATAGAGCGGAGAATGATTAGATGTCATTGTAGAAGCTTTATTGTCTGTTTGGAGAGCTTTCAGGAGCCAAAGATGAGCATAAAGTATTAGGAGAAACAGAAAGTGCTGAAGTCATTGGCGCCCTACTGCTGCTGGGAAGACTCTCCTGCACAGCGTGGGAGCAAAGGCAGAGAGTGGGCCATACTGTCCTCAGGGGAGGGAGGAGGGCGCTGGCTAGGAGTGGGCAGCTTTCCGTGTTTAGCTAACATGACACATGTTCTCTCTCCCAAGACCACTTCCCCCCCGGGTTATTAAACTGGTATTTGCTTCTCCCCACTTTCTAGTTCTGGGTAAATAAAGATGGAGGGAAACCGTTTTCAAAGTATAACAGTTATACGGGTAAAGGAAAACAAGTCTATATTTTCATAGCTTTCTATGCTTTTATAAAGCAGCGTGTAAAGCCAGGCCCACAAACCCCACTCCCCAGGGCTTTTGCTTTTCTACTGGACTGGAGGATTAGCTGGCTTGCTGCCGTCACAGAAAAGCTGGTTTTCCTAGCATCCCTTTAGATGCAATGGTGACGGGTCAGTTCGAAGCACTTAGGAGTTGGAAGCCTTGGATATAGCATCTTTGTAAACTTTTGGTTTCTTTCAGGAATCATGGTCTCCTCAAGCCAGCCAGCCTGCAAGTCAAGGAAAGTCATTACAGAATCATAGACCCTGAGCTCTGGAAGGGGTTGCAGGGGTGATGCCATTTTGGGATGGTGGGTACCCACTATGCTGCACCACTACAGACATCACTAATCAATTGTGGAACGTGGCAGAGGTTCTGCTGCTCAGTATAGTAAATTAAGCCCATTGGCTTTCTTGTAACCATTTTTAAACCCAGGCCCAGAGAGGGTAAGCAAACTGGCCATGGAATCAGGGACCTAATCACAAGGTCAGAACTAAAACTCGGTTTTCTGATGCCTAGGGCAACATTCTTTACACTGCTGTGCTGCCTGTGGTCTCCAGACTGCGAGTGCAGTAGCAGGTGGGGCTAGATACCCCTTTGGGAATTACTGGCTGTACTTAGAGATCAATCCAAACCTCAAAATTTTGGGTCATTCCTTGAACAGAAATTGATAAACATTGGAAACACTGGGAAAAATAAGGGTAGGAGTATTTTATTTTATGTGCTTGATGTTTCACTTGCCTATGTGTCTGTGGACCATGCGTGTGTAGTGTTTTAGAGGCTAGAAGAGGGTATCAGGTACCTGGAACTTGACTTACACATGGTTGTGAGTTGTCGTGTGGGTGCTGGGAATTGAACTGTTGTTCTCTAGAAGAGCAGTCAGTGCTCTTAGCCACTGAGCCATCTCTCCAGCCCAGGAAAGAGGAGCTTCATAGGCATGCCTAGAGTTCTCTCTCTCTCTCTCTCTCTCTCTCTCTCTCTCTCTCTCTCTCTTTCCCTCCCTCTCTTCCTCCCTCCTTCCCTCCCTCTCTTCTTCACTTCCTCCCTCTTTCCCTCCTTCAATCCCCCTCTCTGTTCCTCCCTCCCTCCTCCTTTCTTTTGAAACAAGGTCTTGCTACATATCCCTGGCCAGCTTGATGCTATATATCAAGGCTGGTCTTGAACTCACATCAATCCTATTGCCTTAGCTTCCCAAGGGCTAAAATTATGGGACGGTACCATCACACTTTCCTTGTTTGTTACCATTTCCAAACATCCTTCCCAATTTATAGCATAATTAGGATGGAGTTGGGAATATGAAGTGAGTAATTCTTACCTTAAAAGAAGAGTAACTTGGCAGTAAAGAGAAAGTTGATGGCGACACTCTTGACAAACAGCACCCGTAGCCCCAGCACTATGAGGGACATCATGTTTACATCCTTGCTGTGAACTGTGATGGAATAAAAGTAGAACAGCGGCTTCAGGAGGGGCCAGATTTCTCTCTACAGTGCCAACAACTGTCACCAGTCTGCTCCAAATGGCCATAGCTCTTCCTGGCCTGTACACCCAGCACGGTGCCAGGCAGCACGCAGAGCCCTCAGGCTCCTGTGCCCACCCAAACAGGAGGGAAACACCTGCTCACAGCCTGGCCAGCTCTGCTGTGATGGAGTCGGGGAACCAGTGGGCTCAGTCTGTTTTTTTGTTTTCTTTTGAAGTTTGATGCTTTGAGGTCTCAGGTGACAATGACAGAATTTGTTTTAACCACTTTGTTTGAACCAACCTTTTGAGCCATGGCAAGTCTCTGAAGCTTGTGTGGCACTTTCCTGTTCTGGTGGTTTTATGTCATCTAGAAAAATCAAGGGTGGTCAAGAGTAAGTTGGCAAGCAAGAAACAAAAGGAGGAGACTCTGGAAACTCAGTTGGTAAACTGAGGATAAGAGGGTCATATATCTGTTTATACAGACAGGATTCCTTCGATTTGGGACTTTTGGCATCATCAGGACAACCTCAAGATGCTCTCTAATCTGTAGGGAGAATAAAGAATTTCAATCCCATGATGAGACAACCACCCCTGTGGGATTTTTGGATTAAAATAATATCTTTGGTGCCAGACATTTATATGAAAAAGACGTGGTTGGTGAAGATGAGGAATGGGGATTAAATAAGAGGAGATAGGCAGAGAAATTCCTTCTTAGCAGAGATGAGCACCTTCATTTTTTTTTTTAACAGCATAATGCTAAACCAGAAGTAATCTACGCTGGGTTCACACTGCCTGCTTCTCTTTTCCTCCAGTTTCCCCGTCTTAGCTCCTTTAAGCTAGATACTCACCAGGAGAATTTGCATGTGGTTCAAAGTCTGTCGAGTGCACAGTTGCACTGTTGTGCTGAACCGAACATGTCACTGAATTCGAATCTCCATACTGACCAAGCTTGACAGCGCTGTACTTCCCGCTGGGGGAGATGACTATAGCAGGGTCAAATTCCGCTATCTTCCTGGATGACTTGAGACTTATATTCACGTCCTTGGGATAGAAGTCCTTCACCAGACAGGCAACATTCGTTCCATTTTTCATAATGAATACAGATGGTGTGGTAGGAGGCTGAATTTCTGAAAATATAATCAACTGAGATGATAACTTACAGCCTTAGGAGAATTAAACTGGTGTTGTCTAGAATCTAGAACACTCTATACCTTGTTAGTGGTATCCCTGATAGCCTTTCATAGACGCATGGGCAAGGTGAGAGGAAAGAAGGGACACTTAGTTTGGCTTCATAATAAGGAGCAGAAAGGAGATAGGATTGGAAGAGAGATGGGGTGTAGCAACTATAAAGAAATTTCTAGAACTGAGGTCTAATACGAGGCCCTGGGTGTGATCCATAAACTCACCATAGTACTCTATATACCACTGATTCCAGCAGGAAGGTGGAAACAGGAGGATCAGGAGTTCTAGGTTACCCTTGAGTAGCAGCGCAGTCTCGGCTATATGATACCCTGTATCAAACTAAACCAAACCCAAAACCCCAACCCAAAGAAGGCTGGAGAGCTCATTTGGTGAAGTGCTTGCTTGGCCTGAGTTTGATTTCTAGAGCCCACATAAAAATGCCAGCATGGTGGCAAGTGTTTGTCATCTCAGCACTGGGGAGCAGAGACGGGATCTTCAGGGCTTGCTGACCAGCTAGTCCGGCCTCATTGGTGAACTCCAAGCCAACAAGAGACTCTGTCTCAAATGAGATAGGTAGTGTTTCTGAGGCTAATACTCAGTGTTGTCCTTTGGCTTCCTTGTGCTCATGTGTGTGTGCACCTGCACACACATGTCTACCTGTGCACATACAAACAGTTTTTAATAACCAAGCTGGGTTTTAGTTATCTATGATTTGTTAGTTAGTTGGACAACTGAGGTCAGGCTGAATATCTGTCTGGGTCAGCTGGTTAATTTTAAATATGGGAGCCCTTGGAGGAGATTATAGAAGGTGCTCATACTTTGCATTGTGTCAGTTAAAAGCACATACTTCTAGAAAGGTCTGCATAATCATCTCAAACTCAGAGTGGCAGTTGGAGTTGCTGTGAGGTGTTTTCCCTGTTCTGTAGACTGGAACAGATTGCACTGGAAGGAAAGGCTGGATTTCTCTCCATTTGGGTGGATACTGATTCTTTTCCCAAGGGCCTGCCTACTATACAATTTGAGTGTTTTTATTTATGTTTGTTTGATATAGTCTTTAACTGTATATCAGGCTGATCAAACCCTTGATCCTTTAACCCCACTCAGCCTCCTAAGTGGTGAAACTAAAGGTGTTTGCTACCTCCTTGGAGTAATTTCTTTGGAGACAGGGTCTCATGCATCCCAGACTGGCTTCGAACTTCCTGTATCGTCAGGGATGATCTTGAACTTGCGACTCTTCTGTTTCTACATCCTGAGTGCTAGGACTGGAGGTACCCACCATCAGCAGATAACAACTATCATCCTCAGAAAGTAAATAGAACAAGCTAAACCCGTTTTTTTCTTTATTCTAAGAGGGACTGTGGAATGAATGAACGCTGGTCCCAGAACTGGATCCTCTACCTGCCTCTTCTTTCATACCTTGCTTTGACTATAACACAGCACTATTCTAGGTATGCACTTTTTCTATCCTTAAAACTGGCAGTCTTGATGCTTTGAGAAAGACAGTAATGAAAAAAAAAAAGAAAGACAGTAATGATTCTCATACTGCCTGATTGGAGCTTCTGAATTGTGCCCATAAAGACTTGGATTCTAAGTTATCTTTAAATAACCACAACAGAAAGAGCCTTGTTCTTACCTACAATAAGGAGCAGCCACTGACCTGTGAACAGATTTCTAATCCTAAGATTCATTTCTGAATTTCAGCAGTAATTTCTCTCTTGAACAGAGCCCATACGCCCATGGTATTTACTAATAAAGAGCTGGGGTTGTTGGTATCAAATGAAAACTATGTTGAATTACAATGTAGTTTATCTCTTATGGATTATGATCAAGAGAGCAGGTCTTTTACTAAACAGAAAATCTTGGTAGTGCATATGCAAGTGAAAAGAATTGACTTTTCTAGTGCTCTATCCAGAGTCTGGGTCTGAGTTTTAGCCATGGGGTCCATGGTAGTAAAGCTCTGACCAATCAGTTGGTCCGGTTGATTGAGAGGGGTGGTTGTTAATGGGAAGGTGCCTGCTGATCTCCACGGTATAATTAGATCATGGTGGATCTGGGCGAGCCCAAGAGAACAAGCTGTCCCGAGAAGGCTTCCTCATGTCTACATCATAATTCTTTTTGTATTTTCTTCATCAAGAAGCTCAAATGAAAGATTGGGATCTGGCACTCAGGGAAGGAGACAACTTTCCAAGATTCTATTTTGGCTTTAGCTCTAGACAAGATTTTGTTTCCTTCCTTTCTTTCTTCCTTCCTTCCTTCCTTCCTTCCTTCCTTCCTTCCTTCCTTTCTTTCTTTCTTTCTTTCTTTCTTTCTTTCTTTCTTTCTTTCTTTCTTGTTTTTTAAAGACTTTCTACTCTCAACCTTCATGAGAAAACCTTTGCTCCTTTATTTCCTGTTTGTTTTCTTACACACTGAAGTCGCTGACAGTAAAACTGATAACCCCAGCACTAACGGCTGGAAACCACAAGTCTTCATTACTTGTCTCCTTCCAGGAGCACGGCATTTCTTGTTCATTATCCTGTTTGTGGCTTGAGATGTATTGTGGTTGATTTTCAAGAGAGTTAGGAGTTAGAAATTTGTTCAATAAAAAAAAAAAAAAAACTAACCAAAGCAAGCTCAAACCCATTTTGTCAGTTATTCAAGAGCACGATTCGGTTTGAGTAAGTTGGACAATGAAAGCTTGCTTGTGTTTTTGCTGTTTGAGACAGGGTCTTTCTAAGTAGTTAAGGCTAACATCACACTCAATCCTCCTGCCTCAGCTTGCTGAGTGCTAATAATACTGGTGTGTGCTGCTGGGCCCAGCTGCTTGTGTGGGATTTTCAAATTTACACACATCAAGAGATTATCATCAATTATCACAGGGAGATTATATCTGAATAACTTGAATATTATAATATAGCTGGAAAGGTGGATGTCTGAAGACATGCATGAACACACATGCTGAGACTTGAATGTATTTGTTGGGGTTTCAAATTGAACACAGAGCATTGATTTAGTAAAACATTTTCTCAGGCTCTCTCCCTAAGTTAAGATCCATATGTTTAAAATAATTGAAAAAAAGTTTATTCAATCAATTCATTGGCCTCTGATTGGCATGGCAACCAAAGAAAACAGCTATCTGGTTTGAACTGACTCTTTCTTTTTAAATAAGTAGAATGTACTCCATGTAGTTGTCGTATGGAACTTAGTCTACTTTGCATTTGATTTAAACAAATATTTGAGGATAACCTTTAAAGGAAAGATTTCATTGTTTATCTTTGAGAATAATCTCTTATTTTTTTTTTGCCTTACAACTTTTATTAAAGGCTGCCCATTCTACCCAAAGTTAGAAAACAATCTGACACTTAAATATTCAATTAAAAGATTTTTTAAAAATTGAGTGATTTTTTTTGAGAATAATCTCTTATTATTCCATGAATATGACTGTATTTCAATGCTTTATTTCAAATGGATTTACTTGAACATTACCATTTTGTTTTCAGCCATTCTCTTCAGACACTCATACAGTGCTAAAATTACATGCGGGCAAACAGCAGAGAGATGAGACCGCCCTCTCTACACGCTCTTTATGATCCCATTGGTTCTCTAAAAATTGTGGTATCTATAACACATGTCACTCAGAACTTCACGGTTCTTTGCCAGTCTGGGATTTCACTTAAGTCCTAAGGTTTGCTCTACCTGGTTATTCTCACCGGGTTAACCACCTGTCTCCAAAGCCTTCCTAGCAGAGGAATATTTGTGCTCTGTCAGGAGGCATGCCGACTAGTCAGCTTAGCCGAAGTAAGTGTAGGAAACAAGCCACACCCTGGGGAGTTTGAGCCCAAGCGCGCCTGTGACAGCCTTGCTTCCCCCCAGTGCTACATTTACTAGTATAATTTCAAAAAGATTCCTCTGTTTTCTAGGTTGACCTGAAGATTTAAGAAATAAATGAGGACTAGAGTTTTAGCATCCATATATTAAAAATAAAAGCAGTTACAGAAGCATGTGAGCAGCTCAGTGTTCTCGTGCAGGCCCCCTTCCTTCGGCTCCACTCTGTCTCTGAGATGGAAGCGAATCTACTAGGTATAATTTGTAATATAAACTGGGGGGTAGCTCTAGTCTCAGGACTCAAGTTATCCACAGAAATAAAGAAAAAGATCAACTTACGGGGCTCCACAAAGAGCTTCGTGCCAGCTCCAAAAAACATCTGCCGGGTGTTCCAGGAGCACATTATAGCCTTGCTTTACAGATAACCAGTCTGGGACTAGCCCTGGGCCTGAGCCTGAACATCTGTGCCATTGCTCACAGCCTGCATCTCAGCCTGTAGAGCCCACAGTTCAGAGGATTACAAAGTTGTCCTTGATAGGACAGGGGTCCGAGTACACAGAATGTCCTTCTTTGGGCTAATAGCAGCTGAACGTTTGGATAGGAAAGTGGGCAGGATGCCTCCATCTCAGAGGCGCCGGGACAGGGCTGAAGCAGGGCAAGAGATGGTGACAGACACCTGATTTCAAGAAGTCAAATTGAGCTCCCAGGTTTTTCAGAAGACTTTCCAAGAAAAGCACAATAGCAGGATACAGAGATAGAATACTAAATTTCTTACCCTGACTGAAAAGCAAGGATAGGAGGCCTTTGGTTCTTTTCTCTTGAGCCACAGATAATGTGTCCTGATTTGAGTCCTATTTTTCCTCCATTACTCAGGGAGTTTCATGGTAGTAACGAGTTTGCTTCCTAATTGCTGAGCCTAGAAAAGGGCCAGGGACCTGAAAGCTGAGTAGCCAAGTGGCTGTGTTTGACAGGACCCCACTAGTGCTGTGTGGTGTGTGTGGGCGAGGGAGGTCTGTCCTTGTGCTGCTGTCCTCAGTTAGTTTTGTCTTATAATTTCTTCTGATTCTGGAGCCAGATGGACGTCTCAGAAATGTATAGTAATCATGTGACTACGTGGATCACACGATCTCTCACCAAACTC